CTGGAGTCAGTGGGCAGTCTGCATCTTAACAAACAAGCAGAGCGACATCAAAGTGACACGTGTGACGCATTATTCCAAATAACGTGACAGATCTTATTATACAAACCGTTCACAGTCCCAGTGGCATTTGCTGTGTAGTGAGCAAATGCCTCCCAGATGTGTCCATCTTCACTCTTGTGAAGGGCATGTATCGTTAGCTGTGAACCAGGGGGGACATCCTTGACCAGAATGAAGAATTTCTCATCCATGAGCCCTCTGGATGGCTGGACCGACATGTTCACACAACATTGTTTCTGTTCCATCCTTAACTTTACTCAACTGACTTAACAACAGCCAACTCCAGAAATATAGAGCAGACTAAGGTGCAGAAAGGCCACTTAATTGCCCATATAGTCCCTGTCCAATGAGTTTTATGCACCCTCAAGATTTAAGAGTAACTGAACTACAGGCCAAAATGATTCAAACCTGCTTCATGGTTGAATGGTGGTGGTATGAGGTGTTCTTTTTTGTTCCTGGCTCCATGCCCAAAAAAGTAATGTCAAAGGATCCTGGAGTACACCTAAGCATCCCTGTGGCTTAGTGAGATCATCAAGACAGCATTTCCAGGAGGTGTTCCCAAGCTGCCGGGTTGGTTTTAGTTAAGATGTTTGATGTGGTATTGAGATGGAAATAGGTTCACATGACAACCAACACAAGCAAGATTATTGTTACAACCATACTATAAGTGTAAAAATGTTTGTATACCAGGGGAATCCTACACCATACTGTCATATCCAATGACTCAGCCTTTTGTAGGAGGCTGTGTCTTGTCGTACTGGTTCATGGTTTTTCTCCCACACTCACATACTTGGTTTAAAGTGTTGATTTCCTATGTGGTTGGCACTGTCTCTCCCTCTTTAGGATACTTTGTCATGGCACCATTTACATCTTCCTTGGGTGAGTGCTGTTTTAAAGCCAAATCGGATGCACACTCAGTTGGGAGAATGCCATACTACTCAGAGTGGGAAGGAGGTGCAGAAAGGTTCCAGTTTCCACAGATCTGTCCATGGGCCCATGTGCCTCCTCTTGAGAGAGTCCAACATCTGGTTACCCTGGTCCCGAATACAAGAAAAACCAAGGAGATGTTTCGGACTATGGGAGACCCAGCAAGACCACACATCCCCTTTCCACATAAAGGGTGAAGAGGTGGCTGAAATTCATTGTATGCTTACAATGACACTAAAGCATCTATCCATCTAATATGATCTTACCTATTTGGTTGACCCAAGTTGCATCCATTTGTGTTCCCCATTCTGAGCCAATGCACTCATTTCCCAACTAAGACCCACATAGGCAATCCACCTGGGTTTGTTAATGTGGGACCTACCTGGTTGTCCCAGGTGGGCTGCAGATAAGGTTCCCCTTTGGACCGATACCTTTGTACCCATTAGCTCAAGCATAACTCATCTAGGCCCCACATACAGATGATGACTGGGTAACCCCAGCACAGTGACATACAGTAAATTAACACACTAACACACTTTTCACAGGTCCCCAATTAAATATGTTTCTTCCAGCACATCTACTTATGTGCATCATTGACTAGCATTTAGAGTCATCTCTGAGTGTAACAGTTTTGATTAATTAAAATTAATCTTCCTTGCTCTTATTGTTGAGAACAAAAATTAACTCATACAAATTTTACAACAATCTACGGAAGCCCTAAAGAGTCATACACACATACATTTTATTCCACCTGTTTTCCCGTGATAACGAGATAATTTTCCTCCGTTTTCCCGTGATAACGAGATAATTAATTTGAGATCTCGAGAAAACAAAACGTATTAAATCATTGCAGGAAACATCATTTAGTGTAGCAATGCCAGAGGAGCAGGAGAATACCGATCACCGCATCACTTCAATCAATATCTCTTCAATCAAGGCCTGACACAGGCTGAAATAGCTTTATGCCTTGCTATAGATAATGTACACATTAGTGTGCGTCACCTGAAAAGACTATGGAAGCCGAGAACGGCCATCGATTTTTTTTTTTTATTATCTCGTTATCTCGATATAACAAAGATCGTTTTCTCATGATAACGAGATAATCCTTCCGTTTTCTCGTGATAACGAGATATTTTTCTCATTATCACGGGAAAACGGGTGGAATWAAATGTATGTATGTATGACCCTTTAGGGCTTCCGTAACAATCATGACAAAAGTAAGAATAATAAAACAAAGTTTTATTGGGGAGATGAGGGTTCTGACAGGCGAAGAAAAAAGGGTAAATTCAGGTTTACAGGAATAAGTATGAGGCTGATGAGACTTGCAGTGGTTATTTTATTATTTAATTATTGTAATGACAGTATGACAGTCAGATAAAATTAAAAAGAGGATGCTTGGTGAGTGTGTTTTCTACAAGTTACTCATCTATTGTACTGATGGTTAAGTCAAGAAGGTTTCATGCCAATCTGAGCCATAAAAGTGCATCTGTTATGAGACATATAAAACTATAACTAAAGGGATTTATACATCCATAAGCTATGACTCAAATTCCCCTTACTTAGCAACTGAATTTCCTTGAAGTAATTACCTAGATCACAGGTGGGAAGAAGGGGGTAGAACAGGGTTTCTGCCAGCATAAAGATTCTCCCTCAGAAAGAGCAGCATCTTCCTCCAGGCATCTTCCTGAGCATAAGAGTGTGCAACCTTCTCTCCACCCCACAAAGCAATGACTGCGAAGACAAAAGTCACCAGATGTAAAACACCAGATGATTTCTTTCACTGTCCACAGTTTCTATGTCTGACAGTGTACCTACACTTTTCACCAGATGAGGCTGATATGAAGTTGCTGGCTCTGGCATGCGCAGTGTATGGAGGTTCAATAAGATGACCAGTGTTTGGGTATGACAGGACAGTCAACAGGTGGCTGTTCCCTGCTCGCTCCATCATCTCCTTTATCTGGAAGTACACATTTCATATTTGTCAGATGGTTTCAGGATGCATTTTATTTTATTTATCAATGTACCATTCTTGAATGTAATTGGTAAATTAGTGGTTTCTTTTTTTTTTAAAGTTTTGCGACATTGCTTTGTCTGTGTACACCTCCCCTAAGAACCCTTACCAGCTGCAGAGGAAAAAAGAGCCAAATCAAATTAAATTTAGCAAAAATAACACAGAGAGAATAACAATACTTGAGTATCACATAGATGGGCCTCTGCTATGATCAGTTCAAATTTAAATTTTAACATTTTGATAAATGATAGTACTGCTGTCATGGGTAGGCAGGTACTTATGACAACAAGGTTACAAGAACACTTAGATGGGACAATAAAAGTACCAACAGCAATGATGGTGATTCTAATATATACAAAACAAAACAATAGATGAAAATTAAAACTAGAATTAGAGAACCATGGTTGTATGCCTCCACCAACCAGTGCAATTTCTGTCTACATAAATGTGTTTCCCACATTTGACCACTGAAATCAAATCAGTTAACTTTGAGTCCATGTGAGATGGGTAAAAAGTTGAGGGACTGTCCTCAAGGTGGTCTTGATCATCATATTCAAGAGGCCAAAAACAAGTTTTGCTAGGCCACTCCAAACTTGCCCTACGACTACCAAAAGCTAATCAGTTAATCTGTGAAAACGTGAGCCAAATTTGAAAGAACTGCCTTTAGTTGTTCCTGAGACATTACATTCACAAGGCAAAACATTTGTTTTGAGAGGTCACGGGATGGATGTACGTATGCATGTACAGACAGAGGGACAAAACTGGTTGATGCTGGCGCTGAGTATAAAAAAACAAAAACTAAACAGAAAAAGGCAATAAAGCATTATTAAAGGATTTGACAGATGGTGACATATCCAATACATGATTGTCCACAATGACTGCATGTGTCACTTGTGCCTGGAAATATCTTTGCTAAACTAGCATTTGTAAAACAATGTCTCATACGTGCGTTTCTACCTGCTTTTTCCCCTGTTAAAAAGTTTTTTTTGGTAGTTTCTCCTTACTCTTGTTGAGGGCTAAGGGCAGAGGATGTCACACCTTGTTAAAGCCCTATGATACAAATTGTGATTTGTGAATATGGGCTATACAAATAAAATGTGATTGATTGATTTGATTAATAAATGTGATTTAAGATCTCACATTGTATAAGGCTGTGCTTGGCACATATGTAGGAGGTATTAACTAGTCCCAGCACAGTCCCCCTATTCTTGTCTGACAGTTCCAACCGCACAACTTCTCCCAGGCCACTTTGAGACTGTTGAGAGCTTCGAGCTTTATAGAATCTAGTTTGTTGTGAATAGTTGAGACAAGGCTCTAAAAACTGGGATTTCGATTAAGAATGGTGTTAATCTGAGATTGCGTAAACAGGTTTGCTAATTCTGGGAAATTGATTTTGAATGAAATGGCTCATCTGGAAGTAGCGAAATAGGTTGGATTTAGGTCAATTAAATGTGTCCAACATAGTATGACAATGACAAAAAAGTCCCTTCACTCACATCCATCGCAGACTCATGGGCTGGCCAATTCTGATCATCCTCACCTACAACCAACAACAGAGGACACTGGAGTTGTCCCACCTGGTCAGAGACAAACAGTAGCAGCTATAACATTTGACATTTCTTCACCTGTTGCTGCTTCACATCACCTGGTGAATCACTGAACTATACTTTTGAGATTCTACTTTCTTAAATAACCATTAACTCAGTTGAGATGACAAGTGTCAAGAACAAGATTCCTGAGAATATATGTTGGCGAGAACAAATTTGACTGTTTCAACAGAAAAATAAATGAATCTATTGTCAGATCAAACTGTCTCGTCACTCTTAATATAGTTTGGATGAGCACTTTATGATTTACAAAAAGCAAATTAATGGGTTCTATATAAAACATATAAAACATCTTCAGGTCTTCTTCCTCCAAGATTTCTCACTTGCAGTGATCAATTTTGATGAGACTTCAGGGACCAAAATGGCTTTTCACAGGTGGCAATGAACTGTTCTCCAATAAAATGTTACAAATATATATTTACCTATTTATCCTGTGTTCTTGTCATGGTGATATGTTTTGTTTTTACTATTGATTACTATTGTTTAAGAACAGCTATCGATAAAACTAAACACCCCTTACAATGCACCCACACCTATGTGTGCATGTGAACACATACACACATCTTGATATTATTATCATTATCTTGGGTTTTATCACACAAATGTTATTGTTAGTTGCTAGTCATGTAATTTTCTCCATGTCAATGTTTTATTTTCAAAATTTTTGAAATCTAACCATTAATATGATAGAGGATTCTGTCTCTTCCCCCCTTTATCTTGCAATCTTCTATGTAAATCTATCCAAAAGTACTTTGCTTCTTCAGAGTATAGTAATGGGGCGTCATGAGTGAAGGTACATAATGCAAACTTGTGAACTAAAACTATATGGCCCAATCCCATTTCACCCCTACTCCCTACCCCTACAATATATGAAAATACACGATAATCATGAAAAGCATCGCTATCATGCTAACGATAGCGCCCCTTTTTTTTAAGGTTTTAGTGAAAAAAATGACAGTAAAATACATTGAAACAATATTAAACTAAGATATTACAATCATTACCATCATTTTAAAATCCCTATTAATGGAGAAATTGGCCCTACCCCTCAGTCCCAAAAGGTATTGGGGCAGCCTACCCCTACATGTCAAATCGTAAAACAAAGGGAAAAGGATTAGGGTTAGGGTCAAGGGGTGAAATGGGACTGGGTCTACAACTGACAGAACAACACCTCAATGTAAGGGAATCATACAGAGACACTGGTGTTACTCACGTCTACTTTGAATGAGGAGTCAGCGGGAATGGGCAGCAGCAGGTCCCGCATGATCGCGTGGTTCTCCTCAGTGACACGAATTTTCTGAGCGTTTCTAAATGGACCCAAAAAAATTATAATTTTATTCGATGTTTTATATGAAACAATTGAAAAATATTTATTTATTGGTGGGGATTATAACTGTACAGAGAAAAGCAGGTTGGACAGGAGCCATAAAGGAAACACACCTGCTGCACCTTATGGAGGCTCAGGAGGAGTGTGACATGGAGCGGTTGAAGAAACCAAGACAATACACTTGGACAACTGCTAAAGATAACATACTGTCTATTGCCAGACGCGATTGTTTTAACTGTTTAAGCATAATTTAAATGTTTTTAAAAGTTATTCTATCAGCCCTGTTGTCTTTTCTGATCACTCAGTTGTTGCAGCTTCTATTTTTATAAAACATAAAACCTGGCAGTGCTTCTAGACATTTTTATAAGGTTGTGTTGCAGGCCAAAAACTTGGAAAACTATCAAAACAAGGAATCAGATTTTGAATAATTGCAAAAGTGGATGATTTTTTATGGCTCACATTAGGTGCATTTACTTGTTTTATTGATAAAATTTTGGTTTTATATTGAGGGAATGTGCTAAAGATTAGCGATGGTTTGAGCGCTCCGTTTCAGATTAAAAGGGGAATCAGACAGGACTGCTCCCTGCCTGGATTGTTGCACTGTTTTTCTTTTGAAGACTTATAGCCTTAATTTTATTGGCCAAATGATTTCGAGAGAGCTGTCATGAAACCTGAAGCTGACTAAAAGTCCAAATTGGAAAACAAACTCAAGGCCAATGACAGCAGGGGTGTATTACAAGGCCTTATCAGATCCCGAATTATAAAACCACTGTCTCAGTAGTCAATGATGAACCCAAGCTGCTTGACAGCCTCAACCAATTCTATTGTTGCTTTGATAGCAACCAAAGCCAAATAAGACAGCTCCCTAACTCCCCCCTTTGTCATCGAGCAGTATACAGGGGGGAGCCTGCTGAGGAGACAGAACAGAAGCAACAGGCTCTGACCTTGTATCCTCTGCCACACTAAAATGTTGTGCAGATGAACTTGGTGCAGTCACTTAAAGGTTCAGTGTGTAGAATTTAGTGACATCTAGTGGTGAAGTTGCATGTTTCAGTTGAATACCCCTCACTTCACCCTCCCCTTCCAAACATGAAAGAGAACCTGTGGAAACCTTTAGGTTAAAAAGTCTAAAGGTGTTTAGTTTGTCCAGTTTGGACAACTGTAAAAAACATGGAGGCCTCAGTAGGAAGGACCTGCTCCTAATG